GTACCTGTGGAGGCCAGAAGCGTGCATTAGATACTTTGCATCTGGAGTTATAGGTGGCTGTGAGCTGCCCCAAAAGGGTGCTGGGAATTGAACTTGGGTCCCCTGGGAAAGCAGCAAGTGTTCTTAACTACTGAGCCATCTCTGCAGCTCCAGGGACAAAATTTTAATGCCTAGTTAAACATGTGTGATATATGGTTAAGCATTATAATACTAATGTTTTACTATGCAGTATAGGTTAGCTTAGAACTTACTATGTAGTGCAGTCAAGACTTGAATTCATGGTCATCTTTCCCTCAGTCTCTGAAATGTTAGGATTATGGGCTTGTAACACCATACTTGGATTACTAGTTCATTATTAAGAAGTTAAGGGCGGGCTGGGAGAGATGGCTCAGAGGTTAAGAGCACTGGCTGTTCTTCCTGAGGTCCTGAGTTCAATTCCCAGAAACTACATGGTGGCTCACAACCATCAATAATGAGATCTGGTGCCCTCTTGCCGGACGGTGGTGGCACATGCCTTTAATCCCAGCACTTGAGAGGCAGAGACAGGCAGATCTCTGTGAGTTCGAGGCCAGCCTGGGCTACAGAGTGATTTCCAGGAGAGGCACATAATTCACAATATACGTAGGCTTAAATTATAATTTCTTAATACTTAGTACTTAAGACCATTTGTGTGCTTCAGACAGAAGAATCAGGTAATAGTTTAAGCATACTTTCAGCTTTTAGATGCTGCTGCTGAAGTTTTAAGTGTCTTTGACTCCTATGTAGATCATTTCTCCATTCTTTTCATTTATAAGATCCAAGTATTAGTTACAAGTACTCTTCATTTGACAAGATTATTTTCAAATAGGCATGTGAGTTGTGTAAGAATGATAACAATAGGGACATAAAAGATAAAGCCAGTTGTCCATTACAAATGAAGGGTGTCCTGGGTGGCCTCTGATCCATTTAAGTGTCAGATCAGCTAAAAGAATTCAGACTAAGTGTTAGCTTACTGGAGAGAAATACTATACTTCATTGTGCGTAGGTTAGATAGCTATTATGTAGGAATGACTGCCAGGATAAAATTTTGGTGAGTCTTCTATAGTTTTGATGTTTTTAAGTTTTTACCCAGGCATAGTAGAATTCCTTGGGTATTCTACACTAATAACTCTTTGGTATCCTGAAACTTGCAGATCTTTTGTATTAAAATGTGATTCATTACTGTCGTCTTTTAATTGAATTTTTTATGGTTATATGAATAATTATGAGATTGAAAGTGTTGGTACCTTTAAAATTGTGAATGTTTTATTTCTGGTTTTAAATATTTTTATGGTTTCTTTCAGAATTTCATGCAATATATTTTGGTCATAATCACATCTATCCCGCAACTCCTCTCAGCTCTCCCCATCACCTCCCTACTCACACACCCTCCTTTTGGGTTTTGGGTTTGGTTTTTTGTTTTGGTTTGTTAACTCCTAGAGCAGCTCAAGTACTCTTGGGTATGGGGCTGGCTCTGGAGTGTGTTTGACCTACAGGAGAACTCATTTTTCCTTTCCTGGCAGCTATTGGCAGCTATGCCAAGAGCTCTTTAAGTAGAGGTGGGAATTCGTGCCTACCCACTCCCATTCCATGATGGGGTTTTGTCTGTTTTGAGCTTGTGAAAGTCCTATTGTGATCCCACAATAATATGTATTTATATATGTGCAACATCTCTTATGTGTCTGCACACAGTGTTTCCTTGGAGTCATCAATCACCTCTCGTCTCTTACAATCTTTCCACCTCCTCTTCTAAGATGATCTATGAGCCTTGGGGAGAGTAGTGTGATAAAGATGCTTATGGGTTTCTTAAAAAATTATTTATTTCAATTTTATTTTTATTAATTATGTGGTTTGTGTGTCTGCTTAAGGGTATGTGAACGTAAGTGTAGCCTTAGTGTATAGCATGTATAAATCTTACACAAGTGCACTACAATATTTGAGGCCCTCCATTCCCTCTCCACTGCCTCATTCCCTCATCCAGGGCAACTTCTAGTCCCCAAAGCTTCGCTCTTGGTATGATTTACAGACATGCCACTTTTTAATCACCCATGTTTTGGTTTTGGTCTATCTTTTCTATGTTTAGGAGTGAATACTTACCACTGTATTACAGTTTCCTACTGTATTCAGTAAAGTAGCATGCTTTAGAAATCTATGGCCTGTGGGCAATAGGATAGATACATCATGCAGCCTTGGTATGTAGCAGACCTAGACCATCTAGGTTTGTGGAAGCCCATGCTGTTGTTTTCACAATAATGAAAGCTTCTGATATCATAGTCAAATGATTCATGTATCACATTTTTAAAATCCACTCATCCAACTTTCACCATCATGGTTGCTACTGTCTTTTTTTTCATTAAAATGAGTGTGCTGAAAGTATGAACACTGACAAGTTTTTGACACCATATTTGTTGCTTCATGAACTGCCTTGTCATTGGGGTTCCTTACTCAAACTTCAGAGGGCCTACTCAAATAAGTACATTTTATCTGCATTATTCCTGAAAATCGACATCATAAATGTGATAATGTATTGTATTTTAATGTCCATTTATACTGGCTGACTCTGTCTCCCTCTTTAAACAAAAGTGTATTAAATAAAAGGAAAATGGGGGGGGGTCACCCATTCAATAAGAAATACAACTTAATTTTCATTAAAGGGAGCTTCTGTAATATGAAGGGGGAAAAGGGAAACTATTCCCTTCTCTCGATAAAAATATACTTTTGAGTTGATATAGTTGTTACACTGACTATGTATGGCATCACAAATGAGGTTCAGATAAACCACACAAAGCAGTACAAATGTGGTTAGATGTAAGCATTTGTTTTTACATGAACATTAGCTTTGCTAACATTAATTTTTATGAAAGCAATTTAGGGTTATCAATTCACTGACTTTGGATTTTAACTTTGCATTGTATATATTTAACCATACATTTTTATTTAGCCTAAAGGAGAATCTTTCTCTGATTCATTCCTAAATTCCCAGATGCTTACACATGTGCTTTTAACAATTTCAAATTAACTGCTATTGTCAGGCTAAAGGTTCAGATGATTTTAGGGATTCAAGATTCTCATTTTTGCTGGGCAGGAGGGACATGAGGATCAGAAGTTCATAGTGAGACTTAAATACATTTTGAGTTCCAGGCCAGTGTGGGCTATGTGAAATCCTGTCTCAAAAAGTTTATCATTTCCCTCTTTATTCTATGTCTCAGAATTCCATTCTTTCCTTGTTTGGATACAGATACATAGATGGTTAACCCTTCGAATACTGTGCATGGTCTCCATGCAGTTTGGCAGATCCCCAAGTAAATTCTGGTTTTGAAACTGAACAGTCTTCTTTTAACTAGAAATGAGGGTCCCCTTTACCCAGTGTCTAGGGCAGATGGCAAAACAGGCATTTCCCTCAGGCTAAAAATGTATGCTAAGGATCAAGCTTGGAACAAACTTATAGCCTGCCTTAACAGCCACAGTCTGAAAGCAATGTGAGGAAGCTAACTAAGCTCATTCTTTTCTACAGCCCAAATACCATTTGATGACCTATTCAAAGGGCACAGACATCTCAGTTCAGCATATGCCAAAAGATAGATGACATTACATTTTTTTATTAATTTTTTTATTTAAATACCCACCAGTTTCCCCTCCCTCCTCTCCTCCCATCCCCTCCCCCCACCTCCTTTCTACATCCACTCCTCAGAAAGGGTAAGGCCTCCCATGAGTCAAGAAAACAGGGCATATCAAATCGAGGCAGGACTAAGCTCCTCCCTGCTGCATCAAAGCTGAACAAGGCATCCCACCATAGGAATAGGTTCCAGAAAGCCAGCTCACACTCCAGGGACAGGTCCTGGTCCCACTGCTAGGGTCCCCACAAACAGACCAAGCTACACAACTGTCACTCACGTGCAGAGGGCCTAGGTCAGTCCCATGCAGGCTCCCTAGCTGTTGGTCTAGAGTCCGTGAGCGCCCCCTGAGCTCAGGTCAGCTGTCTCTGTGGGTTTCTCCAACATGATCTAGATGCCCTTGCGTATATAATCCCTCCTCTCTCTCTTCAACTGAACTCTCGGAACTTGGCCCCGTGCTTGGCTGTGGATCTCTGCATCTGCTCCCATCAGTCACTGGATAAAGGTTCTATGATGACAATTAGGGTAGTCATCAATCTGATTACATGAGGCGGCCAGTTCCGGCACCCTCTCCACTATTGCTAGGAGTCTTAGCTGTGGTCATCCTTGTGGATTCCTGGGAGTTTCCCTACCACCAGGTTTCTCCCTAACCCCATCATGGCACCCTCTGTTAAGATATCTCTTTCATTGCTCTCCCTCTCTGCCCCTCCCCCAACTCAATCATTCCAATCCTTCATGTTCCTGTCCCCCATCCCCTCCCCCTACACCCCCTGCCCCCAGATTACCCAGGAGATCTCAGATGACATTTCTAAAGGGATCAGGTGCCCCATTCTTTACCTCAAACAGAATGCCCAGGCATTCCCTAATATGAGGAAATCTGAGGCTCTAATTTTCAAATACAGGTAATCTATAAGTTTAATATTTCTCAGTGTGATGTAACACAACAGTCATGTTAAAAATTGTCACCTTGATCTCATTTCTATGGCACCCACAATCTATCCTCAGAACTAAGATTAAAACCCCATATAGTTGATCTTCTAATTCACAATAATAAGTAGAGTAATAAAAATGTTTTAGAACCAGGATACAGAGATAGTTTCCTGGAGATACTAAAGGGGGCAATATGTTGGAACCAGATGGACACAGTATTATCGTGTAAATATAATGCATTTTCCTAGAATATAGATCTACATACTGTATGGTGTGTTGTGTCCTAACAAATTTCTCAAAGCTATGTGGAAATTGTGGGCATTGACACATTATGTATATAAAAGGAATGTTGGTAAATTTTAGGCAGGATCCAAAAGTGGTTTTGTTAGATACAAAGCATAAACAATTGGGAAGGTTTTCTTTTAAAACAATACAAAATTGATCATTAAAGTGGGCATTTATTTAGAATGACAATTTATAACAAGAATTAAATGATAACAATGAGCAAAAGTTTTAAACAAATTGTGTGTGTGCATATATATATATATATACGTGTGTACATATATTAATTTACACGAACACCACAATGTTGCTATACAACTAAAGCAAAATGAACATCTAAGGTGAAGGATATAATCGTTTTATTATAAATCAAATACCAAAGTTTTGCAAATTGTACATAAACATATAGCCATGTGAAATGAACACAAAAGAGCCCAAGAGTGAAGGTTGTCTCACTCTATGAGGTAAAAATGTAGATAGGTTTGTGTTAAGCCCTTAATACATCTTTTCACATCAAGTTTTTTAAATATACTAGCTTTTCTAACATTTCGTCTTACAAAAAAATCTTGTTTCAAGTTACAAGAACAACTAATCTTGTATACGTAACCATATACAGAATAACTGCCACATGTAGCAAGGAAAGAACTTTTGCTGTAACATTTTCCCCAATTTGCAGATTCTGGTCCATCTTGTAGGCTGGAATGATTTACCAGTTGGCATTTATGTTATTGGAACCAATTGGAACCATTCTATAAATAAGCTAGATGCTAAAGCTTGCTTGGTTTGAGACAAATGAATTTATATTTGGAGACAGGATTCTGAACACAGTGCTTGCTTTTTCTAGTTTATATTGAACTAGATAGACTTTGAAGCAGCAACCCTGGACTGTAGAGTGGCAGGACTGTTGATATGCTGATTGTAACAACTGTCTTCTACATGTGCTCAGATAGCTACAAAAATAAGACCTACTCACGATTATGAAGATAGCCAGAAGCTAATCTGTTTTAAAAAGTGATTCAGCATCGAAAGACAGACACTCCTCAAACTGGAATTTCAGAGAAGTGCAGAATGAACAATTCTGTTCACGGATGCCGAAAATCATTTTCTGCATGCTGAGATGTTATACACACACATACACACGTACACACACATAGAGAGATTACATGCAGATAACCCATTTACTTTTTAATTTTAGATTGTTTTCTTGCAAAGCAATTGTGGTTAGTTATAATATATAGCAACATTTAGTCTATCTTTGGTTCTATGATTTAGATATTTTTCCCAAAAATAAATAGGCATGGCAGGAAAAATAATTCAGCTATCTTAAGAGAAAACTCAGTATTTTATAAAAAAAATTGAGCAAAAAATATAGAGCTGATATTTGTTTTAGACATCTTTTCTAATTCTCTTGCTTAAAATCTAACACCAGTGCAACTTTATTAAACTGAATGTGCATACTGTATTTACCTATACAGCAAAGACACAAAAATATCATAGAACAAAATAGATTCCCTTAAAATATCTTAAGAATTATGCTTTCTAACATGTATTAGAAAATTAAACTGCTAAAAATATATTGGCAAAGCTGACTCTGAAAAAGCGCAAGAAAATAAAGATGGATGTAGTGGTATCTGCAGATCACACAGATCTTCAAAAAATAAAAGAACTTATGATTCAAAAACTCTCTCCTGCAAACATTTCAGCAAATATTTACATGTTGGGAATTTTGAATGATTACTTTTCCAAAGTTTCATCTAGCTTCCATTATGGTTTCAACTCTTGGCACAATTAATGAGCTTCATTTGCTAGCGACCTCCGTCTCTTTTCAAATATGATTTTGGAATCATATAATTCTCTCTCCCTATAGCCAAGGGATGGCCCCTTTAGATACTTTGCCTCAGCTGCCTCATAATCTAAGCCATCAACAGCAGAAATTGAGCAAATAATTGCTTCTGGTAGAAGAACTTCCAAGATAAACTTGATTTTGTCATCTTTTATCAGAGTTAGCATCTTCTGATCTATTTGTTTATAGATTTCTTGTAGATATTTCACCACCTCATCCAGTTGATCTTCATCTTCAAAGTATGTTTCAATACATGGTGTGAAACTCTTTGCATTCAAAAATGATTTCAGCCATTTGGATTTTTTTGTGCCCTTTAAAATGCCCAGGAGATGATCCTCTGTTCCTTTTGCATTGACAATGAAATCTACCAGGTTCTTGTTAGCTCGATCCCGAGCAGGCTTCATCCGGTCAGGGAGAATTTTCTGGAAAGATATTCTCTTGGCGTGGGATGTCACAGCCATTTGTTCCCCTGTGTCTTCATTGTGTAGCTTTGGAAATATATTTCTGAAGGTGTCTTGTTTGATTATTTTCCTGACTGGGTAACTGATGTCAGCAGCATAATACTCAAAGAAGGAGCCTGTAAAAGAACCACAACCTAGTCTAACTCTGTAGTCACAAATGAGTGACACGCACCAATCGATACTTTCACTATACTCCTCCCTAGCTTTCTCCACTAGTGCCTGCTTCTCTTTACAGTCATATTTTTTTAATCTTCTGAAAGATACTCTAACACCTTTCTTTTGAGGATTCATGTTTGCCTCAACAAAAAGCACACTCGCTTTCCTCTCTTTTCGCCTAATGCTTTTTATCACTGCTGGCCAAAATGGGTATTTTTGATATTTAAACCACACTATCATTCCGGTTTCAAATGCACGTGTCTCATAGCAGAGAATGAAGCGAGGAAGGTCTTCATCATCGTCGTCGTCATCATTATCTAATGCAGCTGCACTAGCAGGATTCAGAGACAATAGCTTGCCAGAAGCTCGGGCTTCTTCCTCAAGATCTTCTAAATCCAGTCTCTGAAGCAGTAGATCACTATTGACTGGATTACAGGCAGGAAGTGAAACCTGATAATCCCCTGAGCACCCTGCAGGGGAGGTCTCAGCACCTACTTCTGATTCCACAGAAGACTGATTTTGGCTACCATAGAAGCATGGATTCTGATTCGATGGGCCCTCTCCAGGATCTTCCATATTATTCTCTGGGAAGGTGGAACATTCAGAGGAAACTGCTGGGACCTCTGAGTAGATGTCTTGAGACTCCTCTTTGGGTACAGCAAGATCATCTGATGATGGGACAAACTTTTCTTCTTTAATGTCTTCACATTCCTCTTTGAGTGATAAATTCACGGACATGATTGCTGAGATGTCAATCTTTTTCTTTTCTTCTTTTTTATCATCATCATCATCTGGAAATGAAGTATAAGTTTGGCACCAGCTGAAGTTCTGTGATGACTTTGTTTCCACTTCACTTGGAATACTATCACTGGTTGTGTGCACCTGCAACTTATCATCAGATAGGGAATCATCACTCTCTGAGCACAGTAACATAGATGCTGAGTCTTCTTGGAGGTTGCTTTCAAGTTTCCGATACTTTTTAGGAGGAGGTGAATCAGACAGCTGTTGCGGCACACTTTCAGATGCTGTAGTGGTGTCTTCTTCATCTGGCATGCTTTCCTGGCTCTGATTTGTTCTCTCTTTCACGATTTCCAGTGCCATTTTCAGCGATCTTTCATAGGCTGTCTCTTCCCTCGGTGGAACTCTCACCTCTGACTGTCCTGCTAGTGAGGACATAATGGCTTCAACCTCGGATTTACTGAGGACTTTTGTGTCTTTGCTGTCCACAGTAATTTTCTCATCAAGCGAAAGTATTTGCACTTCCAGGGAAAAGGTCTTTTTCCTTTTACTGTTGGATGAAGTTTCAGACCTATATAAGACTATTGCTGGCCATAACTGTTCTTTCCAATTACACAGGACATATTCGCCATCCATTATGATTTAGATTAGTGTGACAAGTAGTTAGGATTACAGACAAAGATTGGCTGCAAATACAAGTGCTACCAAAACAACAGTCTTAGTAAAGTTCCTTTTGACTTAGAACCACAAAAAGTTTATAGTTTATGTGCACTGTTTTCTTCCTCAGATGTCCCCAGGATACTTGAACATGTTGTTTGAATGAGAACTCTGGAAGATACTGAAATAGGGAACACACTATTAATAAATAAAATGATCTTGCCAAAGTAGAAGGCGAACAAATGCAAACAAAAGAGATAAACTAAAAGCTGTGTTCAATGACAGAACAGATAGACTAAAAAGCAGCCTAATGGATAGGGAAGTAACAACTGGAAATAAACTTGTATGATAACTCCAATTCAAGAACCCCTACTTTTTTTGCTAAAGAATATGCATCATTATTGCTAGAAGTACTTGTAATTGTATGTTACGGAACCTATTCTTGTCATCTAATACTTTGATTCTTTTGTATTCCTAGTATTACATCTGTGGTAGTGAATTTTCCAATTTAGCAATCAGGAGGATCATATGGAGAGCTTCAGAGAATGTTAGGCTCCATTCTCAAAGTCTTATTCAGAAGTTCGAGAATGAGCTAAAAAAAAATTGTAATTCTACTAAGTTCTCAAATGATTCCAAACCTTCATTGACACTAAAAGGCAGTGTATTAGTTGAGTACATGGCTTTGCCTCAAACTTTCAACTGAATTATGCTAATACAAAAGTTGCTTTTAAATTGAAAATGCTACATATGGAAAGCAGGAAGCAAAATCAAGTATCCTTTAAGACATCAGCAAACTTTCAAATATGAATTTTCTCCTGAAATGGAATTAATCTTACCCTCTGTCACGTGGATGGTGACAGTCTTGCAATGTGATCCAACTATCTTGATTCTCAAGCCAGTTGATTTCCAGGCAAGTCTTTCACCCTATGGAGCGTGTATATAGTTAGTTACTCTGCCTTTCTGGGTGCAAGTCAAATCACATGCAGAGTTCCCACATCACATGCACCTCTGATATTAACCGAGGTGTACAAAAGGAAGACAAGGAATCAAATCAATAAAAGGGAAGTGTTAAAACAACAACCTGCCTACCCAAACTTCCTGGCATGCCACTGTGAAACACAGGTATGAGATAAAATCTCATCATTAATGTAGATGGCATGTTTGTTTTCCCTTGTGTTCTTACAAGATGAAATGTTCCTTACCATTCATGCTGAAATGATCTCACTCTAGGAAAATATGAGGTGAGACATGAGGAAAGGGAGGTAACAAATTATCTTGTGTCTACTATGAATCACAGTTTAGATTTTCTGATTGAATATTCACATCAGTTATCACAGGGATTTCTTATTTAAAGTTGCAGTGGTTTTCAATGGAGTCACAGTTATATGGCACACTCTGTCTCCTAGTCTAATCAAAAAAATAGTTTCACTATTTTTTGTTTTATGTTTTGTTTCCCTGCTTCATAACAATGATTGCCTGAAGAAAATTCAGGCTTTCTGGTACATATGCCATCTTATGACTAGAACCAGAAATGCAGCCTGTTGGTGATATAGGCAAGGCCTTAACACAAGATCCGTCTCATGGGAGAAGGTTAGAATTTTAGAATTGTTTAGGCTAAGTGTAAGGTTTTAAGGGCTGGGGATGTGGTTCACTGTTAGAGTGTTTGCCTGGCGTGTATAAGATCCTGGGTTCAGTTCCCAGTACCACATTTAAAAACATTAAATAAAGTACATTTAAGGGTTTGTAGTACAGGATAGAAATAGGGTAATGTTTTCACCACAGTAGTTCTGGTGATCTAGAAGCTCATACAAATGGAAATGATACAAAATACATATACACATAAAAGGCAAGTACATGACACAAATATCTGCCCTGAATATTTTCCTTTTAGAAAATTTTTACAAAGAAGAATGAATGCCCATTTCAAACCAGATTTAGGAACCCCTCTCAAGAGTATGGTTTGAACACAATTCTACATAAATAAGTGTTATACACATGATTTTATATAACTTATTAAATGAGGTTTGCCCCAAGTCTTTAATATTTTATCTCAATATTTCCCTAAAGATGTAAAAAAAAGCCCAAGTAAACATGAATTACAATTTTAAAAATAAAGAATGGTAAAGGCTCTAACTATACAGATAATGTTTATTTTGTTAGAGATGTATTTTCAGATTTAATTGCATACACTATAGTAATATGCATCTATTGAGGTAACACATGTGATTAGTGAGTGCTCCATAGTTTTCTCTCTTTCTTAGGTGCTATCTCTCAAAAACTTTCCAATGACTTCATGTGGAGGCTCATGTTCTCCCCTCACCAGCTATGTAATACTACAGAGTATGCATACCCTATACTATATAATATTCCTTAAATGGCTCACAGGAAAAAACCAAATACTTTGTTTTATCCATCCACTTACATGGGACCTGAAATAATGAACCACAAGGAGGGCACACACAGAGTTATAATCAGAACAGCAGCTAAGCCACTCATCTGACCAGATGCAGGAACATTTCCACTATTGGGAAAACAATTAAGTATGGTTGTAGAAGCATATATGTATGTTTATGAATGTTGGTGTGTCTGAAACAAAATGAGTATGCTGTTTGAGCTTCATTTTTCTTTCACAGTTAAACAAATAATCATGAGGCAATCTACACTTTAATGGTATTAAAATGGGTTAAACGTATTAAAAATAGCACTTTGACTACCCAGAAATGCTGAATGCTAACATAGGAGTTTCTGTCACTTTTTTTTCTAACCACATACATATACATGTATATATTATGCGTGCGTGTCTTCACTCAACTGCACATCTGATCCTCTTCCTATACTCATATGCATGTAACATATATATATATATATATATATATATATATATATATATATATATATATATATATATATACTTTTCTGTGTATCCCAATTAGCAGATGTATGAATACAGTGCTGTTGAATACTTCTGTCAGTTTTATTTCTGTGTAAATGAAAAAATGTTTGAAATTTCATAGAATAACAGAACGCCTTGTAATATCAACAAGGTCTGCCAAGTTAGGAAATTAGCATGAACGGCCATGCTGCACTGAAGCCTTAATTTAGAGGCTGTAATCTGATCACCCCTTTCCCCTCTGTGGACTTAAAAAAACCTTGGGAGATACAAAAGTTCCAGAGGATTAATGCCCTCAAAATGCCAGCAATTCTTTAAAAATCACACAACGTTCCTTCAACTCTAAGATCATCCTTCCTATTTTCTCATTTTTTATCCCAGAGCTCCTAGAAGTCACTAGAAAGTAAATTTAAGTCAGACATTACCTTGAAGCTTCTTGTCAGCTGCAGTCTGCTAAAATTCAGCTCCTCCCCCAAGACTGGCAGGGCAGAACTCACAGGCACTGCTCAGAGAAGGCTCCGCCCCCGCAGTGATGCAGAGCACAAGGCCACTCCCTGAATTACAGGAGAGACAATTGCCAAGAAAAACCGCTTAAGTGTTGAGACGTGGAAACGTTCCCCTTTACAGAACTTCACAGTATAATAGCGACAAGGGTCTAATTTCCATCCAAACTCAATTGAGAGTGGATGATTTCTTGAGGAGGTCGAAAAACACTATCTCATAATAAGAAAACCACAGTTTAACTATTTCTTACATATTTTAACTAGCCTTCTCTGGCATCCTATGTCTATAGGTGATTATTTTCTTTTTTTATTAGTATGTCTTCATTGCAAAATGCTGGGCTTGGATTAAAACTTTTTCATATATGATTATCATGTGCTTTGTTCTTTATTTATTCCTCTGCCTTTTCTTGTTCCCACTTCCCACTCTGAATGGCCCCTTTCCTCTTCCCTCTGGCGCACCCCCCCATGCATACACAATACACCCACACCCCCTCACCCCACTTGGAATAAGAACACAACAAAAGAAGAAAACTATATGCCAAATTCCCAGATGAACATAGATGCAGAATTTCTCAATAAAATACTTGTAAACAAAATATATTTAAAGGTGACCTGAAAACCAGGCTGACCAACATCTTCTAAAGTAGAATGAGAAAGATGTTGATTAGGATTACGTAAAAACTTTACATTGTTTTAGATAAAACTGACTTCTGTGTGCAAAACATGGTATGTCTCTCCTTTGACTCAGTTCTTCTCTTACATTCTTCAGGAAAGCCTCAGAGATTGCTGCCTATAAAATGGTTATTTTTTACTAGAAAGTGAAAATCGTGTTTGGGAAGAAATGATCCATTTCTGTGTATCCTACTCTATAACAGGAAGCTGTGTTTTCTAATATTTTGCTGTTGTGTTTCACACTTGGGAAATTCAGTGCAGGGAGAATTTGTTTCTAAATTACATGCCTTTTGTTCATCAGAATATCCCTATGGTAATTTTAAACTAAAAGGCCAGTTTAAGTACAATTATACTTAAATTATAATTGATAACTTGAAAAATGCAGTGTTTTATTTGCATCAGTACAACACATGATATGACATTACTTAGGTGGTATAATTTTTAAATGTATATTTTTTAAAAATCACATTTATATAAACTTTAGTATCAGAATAATAAATACTAATAAACCAATAAAGTCCATCTCTAGGCTGGTATGTTGTTGGCTCTAATAGATAAATTATGCAATGTTTGTGGCATAAATATCCACAAATCTCACACATTCACTCCCCAAATGTTTGATTTGCTGATGTCAAATTTTAATGTAGGTCATCAAGTCTCCAGAAAGGGGAGGGTGCTCTGTTTTAAACAGTCCAAAGGACACAAACTTCTTCCATCCTATGGCTTTACCATCTTCTTGGGCCTTGAAATCCTTTGGTACATAATTTGTGTTGGGCTAGGGATCTAAGAAAGAGTGAAGATGGACAGTCTTGTGGACAGTTTTAAGGGCTGTGTCTGGCAAATATCACTGCTGGCCTCTGTCCTCTAACCACAACTCAGGTAGAGAGGGCAGACTGCCATAGAGCCCGAGGAATGTAGTTTCCTTGTTATTCAGGAGGAAAATAGAGTTTGGTCAACATGTAGCACTCTCTCTGCCACTTGAAGTTTTTTTCTTTTAATTTTTACTGATGTCTTTTATTTGTCTAACTGCGTAGCTGTGAAGATTCTAAAGACAATACCACCACAAGTAGATGAACTGCTAGTCTGGGCTTTCACTACTTTTTATGTTCACTAGAAATTGACCACAATAGATAGATACACTTTGGAAAGCTATTCTGAACTAAGAAGTGAATTAGAAAAATGATGTAACTCATTAGAGATGGATGATCTCAAGCCCCTAACAGGACTACAACATTCTGATATCAACTTATGGAACTGTGAACTTGTATCTTAGCTCGATCCTTGTATTTCCCAGTCTGTCTTTTGAATAACAGAACAAAAATAGCTGATCTTATACGAACCAACAAAAGTGAATCATTCTTGCAGAATACTAAGTATTATTATTTAACCTAAATAGGATTACTGGGCTGGTGTATTATATATATGACTTTATTTAAATGAAGAGTGTTATCTGATTATATACTTTATAATATTTTTCTACCTACTCATTTACATGCCAAGTGCACATAAAATATAGTTATTATACTTTAAAACTATACTTTCTTGTCTATTTCCTATAGTGTGCACAAATCAGTCAATATTATGCCAATTCCATGGATATACTTTTTATTTTACTGTTTTGTAGAATGATGTGAAGAGTGATAACTACTAATGAATGCTAAAATTATACTAGTGATATTATTATGAAGTAGATGATATAAAAATCAAATATATTTGCTATAATTTTTATATGCCAGGCAATAGTATTAGTATTTGACTGGTAACTCACTAAAAGCCAGATAATAACTTGCTTCATTCCATATAAACATTATTAGTATTAGTATTGAGGATAGATGCCAGTGATTTATTACCACATGCCAGGCAGTCTGTTAAATTATCTACATACATTATAAAATACTGTTAGAAAGGCTCTCAAGTTTGAACATATCCCTCAAAGTTCATGTAAAGGAAATTTAAATCCTCAGTGCTGTGTTGAGAGGTGAGAGAACTTATGTGTTGATTAGAATGTCAGTGAACCCATTACTGCCACACTGCAGCAGTGGTTTATTCCTTGTAGGAGTGGGTTCCAGTTAAAAAGATGAACTCAGGCCCCTCTTCCTTTTTCTCTTGTTTGCTCCTTCACTATATGCTACTTTTTGTGACCTTACAATACATAATAAGGCCCCTGGCAGATATGGCCTCTCAGTTCATGGATATTTCAGCCTGCACAACTGTGAGCCTAATATTTGCCCATTGTGAAGAAATTTCTTGGTCTCAAGTACTCTGTTATAACAGCACAAATGGACTAAAGCAGTGAGCATTTTCAGCATTCTCATTTTGCAAATGAGGCATTAGAGAGATTAAGGAATGTTTACAAGAATGTCCACAGTGTATTTGGCACAGGACATTTGGACCTAGGTACTCTGACTCCAGAGTTAACATTTGTAATCACTAAGACACATTGAAAATCCCGTTACAAATAATAAATGTTCTATACCTGTGCGTGGGATAAACAGCTGAGCAAAATAATTAATCTTAAAGCATTATGTGCTGAGTCACTGAAACATAAAAGAGAATATTGTACCTGATTCTGCATTTAGCTTGCCTCCCTCCTTGCTCCTCTCCTATGTCTCCTCCATTTGGCTATGACAGTCTCACATAATCATTGTAGTGAGTGACATCCCAGCATCTTTGCCAAATTATGCTAAATGCATACAAGGTGTAGCCAGCACACAACAGGAGGATACTTTGCAATGGAGTGGGTCACTTAGAACCTGTCCACCACAACACTGTCTGATTTTATATGACATTTTCAAAATAATAGAAGGGTAATAACAGTGAAAAGATCAGCACTGCTGGTGTTCCAGATGAGAAAGGGTGTAGCGTTAAAGGGACAGCACAAGGAAATCATGAGGATGATGCAATATCGACTTCCAGCTGTAGTGGTGGTTGTAAGAACCTGAATATATGTTAAACCATGGAGAAATACATACAGTTCAAGTATAATGTATTCTGCTTTAAAACACAATTTTAATCTATAATACAAAGAATAAAAATGTAAACACAACATATAATAACTGTTATACAAAAATCAACTCTATTAACACTTTAGGAACCACTTGTTCCTAGGGTGTGTTTAACATAAATAACAAGAATAACACATGCATACATTACTAAAGGGCACCAAAAGTACTGTCTCTTAAAATATAAAAAGACTTAAGAGAATGTCATTAACAATTTAAAAAACAACAATGACAAATCTCTAGATATCTTAAAAGGTCCTAGCTTTCCCTCAGTTTATCATAGAACTATGTTAAATTAAGTATTAAAGGTTGATGAACTCTGTCGTAGTATGAATCAGAATGGCCCCCATAGGCTCATATATATGAATGCTTAGTCACCAGGGAGTAGAACTGCTTGGGAAGGATTAGGAGGTATGGCTTTGTTGGAGGACCTGTTTCCCTGGGGATGGGCTTTAAAGTGCTTTCGCGCCCATCTGCGCTGGCGCGCTCGCTCTCACTCGCGCTCGCTCTCACTCGCGCTCGCTCTCACTCGCGCTCGCTCTCACTCGTGCACCCTCTCCCTCTATGTGTGTGTGTGTTATACAGTAAGCTATCACTGCCTTCCAAAGATCACTCAGAGATTCTAATGGGAGGTTCCCTGCCACTGGGAGAGGGAAGACTACTGAGAAAGCTTTAACTTTCAAGGTCCAAGCCCAAAGGCACCCCTAAACATTGCTTCCTGGGCAATACTTCCTGCCTCATTGGGAGCCTAGTACCTAATACTAACAGGGGCAAAATGGAAGAGCATGAAGACAGACAGATTACCTTCTGGTAGTACAGGTATATAGGGACTGACAAATATTTAGGGTTAGGAATAGAGGACCAAAATCTTGTAGTGCACCAGTCTCTACTTGAAAAACTGATAATGCAAGCCAGTAAGGATAAGATGATAAAACATAAGAAACAACATCAAACACAGTTTTATGACACCAACATTTGCCGGATACCAACAACACAATAAAAAGTACAGAAAACTACAGACGAATATCTCTTATAAACATAAAAGTAGAAATCCTCACCAAATGCTATTGCTCAAAGCAATGGCATAGATAAAAGACATATCATGACCAATTGAAATTCATACTTGGTAATATAAGAATTGTTCAACATTCCCAAATCTATCAATTCAACTTACCATACTAGAAGACTAAAAATGATGAAAAAATCATAGTAACTGAGGCAGACAAAGCATCTAACAACATTCCACAAACATTTAGGATAACAACACTGAGCACATTATAAAACAAATGAATCTTCCTCAATCAGATCACCAGTATCTATAAAAACCCTACAGTTACCATTATACGTAGTGGTAATACATGGAATGTCTTTCTGCTA